AGGGCCCTATTTTAACGATCTAAGTGCATGGTCTAAAGCGCACGGCGCAGGTGCACTTAGGGTGTGTCCGAATCCACTTTTGCTAGTTTAAAGACGGGAAAAACGGTCGGCGTGCCCGGCGCATGGTCTAAAAGGGTTGTCCCTATTCTCTTAATGAGTAATGGGTGTGTTTTTGGGCATAATGTGCAATAAACCAATCAGAGTTTCCCATTCCCTTTAAGAGCCAGTTGCGCTCGTGCCATGGCGGATTTGCTATTTACACGGCGGAATTTGCAAGCGCGAAGACAGAACGCGTCTCCAGAGAGGAAACGGAGCTGCTGATACAATTCTGATACATGCAATGACTATCCATTATGACATGTAGGCATTTTTATATTTATGTAGCCTACACAATAATAATCTTTTACATTGTAATCCTTTCATTTTTAATATTTGGCATGTTTGCGTGCTGCTGTGCGTACCTGTGTGTGTAATAAGCAGAGTGTATGCGCGTTGTTGTGTCTAGAGCACGTTACTGAGGTTGAGCCAATAGCAGACACTGCAGAGAAAAAAGAGGGAGTAAAAATAGCCCCGGGCACTGTGTGGGCTTGCTAGTGGCAGAGTGCTAATACAAGCCCATATGTGTAGCTCCAAAAGCTGTAAAAAAACACTCTACCCTATTCCAGTCAATATACATAGAAGTACTGCAAGGCCCGATATTCCCACAAGGTACCTGTGTCAGTCCATTCAAAATAGATTTGGTTAAAACTTAGAGAGAATAAAGACTTGCCACATTTCTGATTCTTGTCTTTCCAACCTCAAGGTGGAGATAGCCATAGATGAGTGCTCCTTCCTTTTCAGTGCTGCTAAGATGGCCAATTTTAAAGGATCGGGTAACAGGCCAGAGTCACACATGCTGATGTCTGTCAAATGCATGGCACTTCTGCAAGCATCATTAGCATGCCCATCATAGCATGTTTTATTCTTAACTACCAGTCATGTCACCCTGCGAGCCCCCACCCATTACTGCTATGGTGAATCATTTTTTTTTTTTTTTTTATCTATCTATCTATCTATCTATCTATCTATCTATCTATCTATCATCTATCTATCATCTGACTATCTATCTATCTATCTATCATAATTTGGTGTTTTGTTGTCATTTTCATCATAATAATTATAATTCTTGATGATTCTCATTAGATTATTATTAATGTAATACATTATTTTTAACATATTGCAATAAAATAATTTCTGTAATAAACATTTTATTACAATTCTTTTTAATAATATTTACTATTTCATTTTTCCTGCATTATAGTAATGAGGATTTGTGTGCAAAATGTGCTTAACTGACATTAAAACAATGTCACAAGGCAAGTATAAATAAAAATAGGCATAATCTTCTTTATGCAAAATCAACTGGTAACACTTTGGGCCCTATTTTAACGATCTAAGCGCATAGTCTAAAGCGCACGGCGCAGGTGCACTTAGGGCGTGTCCGAATCCACTTTTGCTAGTTT